TGCATGCCCTGGTGGGTGTCAGAATGGCAAGTGTATTGCCCCTTTCACTTGTGAGTGTAATGAGGGTTTTATAAAGAATCATAACTATGAATGTGTGCCAGGATGCAAAAATGGTTGTATTAATGGTCAATGCAAAGGACCAGATGTGTGTGTATGCAACGAAGGATATGCCAAAAAAAGCTTGTCAAATTCTTCTGATTGCATACCAAAATGTGATGAAGAATGTATCAATGGTGAATGCACACAGCCAAACAACTGTACATGCTTTGCTGGATACACAAAGGATTCAGAAAACACACAAACATGTGTACCACTCTACAATGAAGAATGTACAAATGGTAGGTTCTCATCCGAAGACAAATGTGTATGCCATGAAGGATACATGGAAGATGAAGACAATCCAAACATCTGTATGCCAAATTGTACTTCTGAATGTATTAACGGTAACTGTACTGCTCCAAACAAATGTACTTGCTACGATGGTTACACAAACAACATAACACAACCAAACCACTGTATTCCGACATGTGAAGAAGAATGTGTCAATGGAGAATGCTCTGAACCTGATGTCTGTAGATGCTATTCTGGTTATGCTGTCAAAAATGTAAAAGAATCTAACAGATGCTTTCCAGTTTGTGATGAACCATGTGTTAACTCTAACTGTGTAGCACCAAATTTGTGTAATTGCCATGAGGGTTACACAAAACGTCCTGAAAATGACTCAAAGTGTGAACCCATCTGTAGTGAGACTTGTGTCAATGGTATCTGCACTGCACCAAATGTTTGCACATGTCATCAAGGCTATAAGAAGAGTAATAATCTTCATGTATGTGTCCCATCTTGTCCCAGTGGTTGTGTTAATGGAGAATGTACAGCTCCAAACATGTGTGTATGTCATGATGGCTTTGTTGTTGACTTAAAATTGAGTAACAGATGTGAGGTTAAGTGTCCTGGTGGCTGTATCAATGGAAATTGTACTGTAAACAGAACCTGTGAATGCCATGAAGGATGGACTAGTACAGACTGTAGCATGCAGATTGACTACATTCAAGATTATCCAGTTGCTAACATAGTACAGTAAGTATTCTTAATGCTTTTAGACATTTGTGCCAGAAATTTAAAGCTGTACTAACAACCTTTGTTTCATAACATAGTGAGTTGATCTAATCATTTTACAGTACATTAAGACAATGATGGCTTGTATTTTATTTTTTATCTTTCAAATACCAAATAATTGCAGGGAATTATATTGCCTGAAATCATCTGCTCATAAAACACTAATATGCATTATCTGGAACTAAATGGCCATAATTTTTACTCTAAAAGCTGTTACATAATTCAGAAATAAAATATATTAAGAATCTGATTACATACCAATTTTATCCTCAGAGTACAGGCAGGCTTATGGTTAGCAGACAAGACAAATTTACTGTGGATTGGCATGGTAATTATATTGGCTACTTCTCTTCTGCTTGTTCCTGCAATATCAAAGTTTGTGTCACACTGCCAAAGGAAAGGGGAAGACAAGAATCCTAGCGAAGTAGTGTATGTTCGCAATTCCGGTGAGTTACTTCTGAAAACTTGGCTTATGGAACTTTTCTTATCTTGATGACTTACAGCTTGGCAGAATATTTTTTTATAATTTATCAGAAAGATATACTAAACTAAAAATAAAAACGTCATTACTACAAAAAGAGCCCCACTAATTCACATAAAAGTCTCACAAAGATTCTCTTGTATCACCACCATTTCTGTTAGAAAAAGAGTGAATACTAAGTTTTATTACATCTCTTTTTGTAGTAGTTAACTGCCCCCACAGATAACATAGTTATTTCCATACTTGAGATTAAAATTCGTACCTTTGTCTTTTTATAAATATTCTTTGTAATGGTTTTTCATGTACAAAGAAACTATGTAGATAAATATTATTACTTAAGAATTAATCCATTACAAATTACAACAATATTTGCATTTCTTTTCTATTTGTTATTGAATTTTCAGTCCAGCATCTTATTTCAAAATGTACAAACATAAATAACATAATTAAAGTTATGCCCCAAAATATGATTAATCTTCCTATTAAAATGCTTGTTTAGTTCTGCTTTACTATGATTTGTATTCATATTCATTCTTAATGTCCCATGACTTTAGAATTGTAACAAAGCTAACTCCATAAAAAAAATCCTTCTTGAGAACGTAATAGCCGATCAGCCAGTCGATCTAGCAAGTCCAACCTTTTACAGAGACTGAAGCTTCAGCATCATGCCCACTTCAGAAATTTGTTTAATTTAGATTTATAGTTGGCACTAGAAGAAACGTGAAGGTTAGGTGAAAATCAGTATGTTGGTCCTATGCATAATAACAACAACATAAATATTTTTTCCCAAATCTCGTTACAGTAGTTGGAAACATCATATCACTTTCCAACGATTGAAGTTTTATTCTATTTTATTTTACAGAAATGGATGACTTGAACTCTGAAGCTATCTGTGTTGATCAGTACAGTGACGAAGCATACTATTAAAGGATTGAAAATATATGTCAGACTGAAAATATAAAATATTACCTCATATTGTAAAACCAGACTCTTGTGGCTGATTGTAATACATTTTTCTTCCACTGACACACTTCTGTGAAATGATAGGTCAAACATTTGCAGTGCATGACTTCTTAGATGGTAAGATAAATGACCCTTTCACTTCATGTCCATTTACTGCGTTAAGACTGGTTCATCCAACACAAGAAATAATAATGGCAGCCAATTAGTGTAATTTGTATTTCATAAAAAGTTACGCGTAGATATTCTGCAAGAGACATGAAAGAGATTTGCTATGAATTTTCCATTTAATATCTTATATTTACATTGTTAAATGCAGCCAAAATTATTTTAAATTTATTTGTCAAATGTAGAGTTTCTTTTTATTCTCTGGGTATGCGTATGACAGAATTGATACCGCATTTTACCTTATTTTTAGAATTATCTGTTGTTCAAGGACATAATTGCATAGCTTTGTTAGAAAATCAAAAGAATAAGTACAGTTTCAGGAATCTGTGGTCAACCAACAGCAACAACAACAACTCTCCCACTGAAAGTTTCATTATTTCATTAAATTGGTATTAAATCTGACTTCTGTTGCTATTGCTTATTCATATTCTTTTAAAAATAAAATGACCTTACATCTTTTCTCATGTCTTTTAAGCTTTTTGGGTCCTCTGTTAGACATACCCAAATATTCACGGAAATTATGTTGTGGCTCACTTGGGGTCAGCGTGACAATCCCAACAGTTTTAAAGTTAAAAAACTGTAGTTTGTCACGTATTCAAATTCCAGTAAACTCCTCTTCTCCTTGGACCTTGGACTGGCACAGTGATCGAGACTAGCTCTTTCTATTGGACCCAACAGAGTAGGAGCCCCTGCCCCAAATACCTGAAGATGAAAACAGACCCAGTTTTTGAAATGTCATGTGCATTTTAATCTTGGACGATGGTCACAGACTAAATCACGATAACCCTGACTCCAGATTAAGCAGGGACTAAATTAAAAAGAAAAGCTTTGTAATAGGTTGTTTCAACTTCCAACTTCTTGCCAGCCTCATATTTCCATTTCACAAGTTAAATGACTTGATTTCTGTCAAATGATTGTTCCATCTTTTTTGTAATTAATTTTTATGGAAGTTTTTTCCCTTGCTAAATGTTTAATTTCTTTAAATAGATGTGTATATTTAATAACATAATATTAAATATTCTTTTCTGTACCTATTTTTTTGTGTTTTATTATGTTACCTCGTAAGTAATAATATTTCTTCATCCTATTGACTTGTGACCACATATTATTATATTTATTTCTTGATGATCCACAATAAATCATTACAATTTAGATTTGCTTGGTGTTATGCGCCGGAGTCCAATACTTTCAATTATACATCTTTTTTATGTTTGTGATCCATAAAAAGTGGCTCAGAAATTTGCTCTAATGGTTCGTGAATATTTTATAAATTTAAATACTTGACATTATAAAAGATATACACAAATTTATACAGTCACAAATATAATTTATAATTCTAAACACAAAAAAGTAAAAGTTGTGTTTCTTTTTTTTGTTTTTGCTGCAAAACCTTCCTCTTGGCTTTCTCATTTGGAGTCACTTTTATACGCGCTTGTTAAGTAACACACACAAGCTGTTGGAAATCGAAAGACCCTTATCCTAGGGCAGAGGTCTGGTTTGTCCGGGTCCCACGTCACCAAGTGTGAGTAGGAGTATCGCTGGACGCAACTACTTCCTTTGGCTACATTGTTCTTGAAGCCACCGCTGAGTGTACACCTCGTGGCAGAGCACGGCTTTCCGACGCCGCG